CACTTTTATAGTTGAAAGGATGTGAATTTTCCATGATTCTGCTTGTTTTCTAATTCCCATTTTTCTTCCACTATTTTCCCATTGATTTGGTTGATCTTCACAGTTTCTCCCAAATTGACTAATTTAATCCTGCTATTTCTACCAATTAGCTTTCATGCCTTTCTACTTTCTAAAAATAAGTTCTCTGTATGAGAAAATATTGTCTGTTGAACAAGGGGGAAAGGAAAGCAAAATAAAAGATATATATTCAAAAAGATATATATATATGAAAATTATGACTGGGTTCTCCACAAAGCAGACTCCAAGACAGGATGAAATGCACAATGATTAGATTAGGAGAAATGCCTGTAGGAAAAGATGGTGAGGTAGGAGAGCTGGGAGAACTATCAGACCATAAAACAAGCTTGGTGCCAAGTGACAAGAGCAGGAAGTAGGCTGGGGAGAAGCATCCTAGATGGCTATTGTACTCCAAGGACAGTTTGGCAAGGCCTTAGGGGAGTCCTGAAGCCAAAGTTGGTTATAGTAGATGTCCTGTGTCTCCCTGGAATGGACCTGTTTTGATTTTCCTGTTGTGCTCAGTCACTGGCGAGGAAGCATGACCTCATGGCACAAATGGGATAATGATTTCAGAGTGTGGAACCTGGGGATCCTGGTCAATTATACTCCTTGCAGTTGGAAATCCATAAGATATGCCACCCTTCTTTTTCATATAATCTTTCCCCCATCCCACCAGTCCCTCTTGGAAGAACAAGTTCATTGCTTCTGACCCTAACACTTTGCTGAGAGCTGAAGCTGCAGGCACATCAGAGCATGTACACATCTGCAAAAGTAAAAGATAAAACAATTTGCAAAATAATGATGCATCCATAAGTTGATTTCGTGAGAAAAGCAGTGACTTAAATGTACACAATGGAATAAAAATATAAGCACATAAAAATAGTACACACAGGTACATAGGATATAGGAGAAGCTAACTCTCTGCACAGGCTTCAAAGATACAAATAAACAAGACATAAGAAGTCTGTACTTTTCCATCTCAGTCAGAAGAAAGGAAAATGAATTTATCAGGATCTTAATTTTGTGCCAGGCACTGTGGTAGGTATGGTTTCATGTCTGTTAACTTAAAATATATAGTACTATTTGTGTCTTTTATTGAATACTTATAACAACCTTCCAGGTAAGTGTTGTTATTCTTGCTTTACTGATGAAGTAATGAAATTTCAAGAGGTAATATATTCAAAGTTAAATAACTTGTCTAAGGTCACACATCTAGTAATGATAGAACCAGAATACATTTCAAGTTCTGCCAACAGGAAAGTAAGGGGAGAAGGGCATTCTTAAGTGTTCTCTGTATATACATTTTTGATTGCAAAAAATTTTTTTCCCAGAACATCTTCAGTCTTCTAACTTTTGTGGCTGAGGGTATTTTATACCATCTTTTTGGATCAACCCTATCCACATCACAGTGTAGGACAAATTCTCTCACCAACAGGACACTTTAGGAGCCAATGAGAAGAGCTCGATATCAAGGCGAGATCTTTTCCCATCTCAGGTGTGTTGCCAATGACTGTGATCCTTTTTCATATCCCAGTTTCAGGAAGCCATCCCTGCCTGTTTGTCCCTCCAATCTCATTGTGATAACATGACTGTGTTTGAACACTTCCAGCCTTTTGGAAGGTTAGAGTTCTTTTTTTGAGGGACAGTCCCAAAGGCTGGACCCTTTTTCAGATCTCTTGTCCTTGACGTCTCATTCTTTCTGCCCTTTACTTCTGAGTCCTCCCTGCCTAGCTGATTCATTCTTGTAAATCTTTCTGAAATTCTGACCATCTTTAATCTGCTACATTTCTCTGCTAATCAAAGCTTTGTTGTGACACGTACTTCAGAGTCTTGATCTCTATGTAACAATGACTCCCACGAATGAATAGACATTTCAACTTGTTCCGCTATCATTATTTTTTGGCTTAATAAGGGTTTCCTGGTATCCATTTGTCCAAATGGAAGCCCATGTTTGGTTGAGGAATAATAATAGATGCAGTTGCTGATCACTTTGCATATATTACTTCAGCTAATCAACATAACAGGTAGACATTATTACCATTTGTGATCTACAGAACAGGAAATTGAGATGTAGAGCAGATTCAGTGCTCTGGAAGCAGACAGAGAGATGGATTCAGTATCAACACATGTGAAAGGAAAGGGGCAGAAGCTATACTGGGAAGAAGAAGAAGTTAAACTGTGATATAGTCCCGATATAACCTTGTAGCCAACTGGGAGCTCTAGGTCTAGTATTACCTGTCAGTGTCTCATGTGAAGCCAAAATGGCCAGCTCTTTATATGCTTTTCTTGCTTCATCACCGGATGCAGGCTGTCATGGGAAAACATGGCCTTGGACAAGGTGCATCCCAGTTGAGCAGATCCTGGAGGAGTTTACACCTGGAAGCTATCTGTTGACTGCATTTTCCACAGCTAAGAGCAAATTTATCCTTGGAGGAGGATCTGAGTGGTGTATCTTCTGTCTCCTGAAATGCTAAGATCCAAGAAATCTATGAAAGATTTTACAGCTAGTAATGACAAAGATTTGATATCAAGTCTTTTGTGACTCAAAAGTCCATGCTCCTCACTACTTCATAATTGATTTCAAAATATCCATTCAAACCAACTGTATCAGAATTTCTTTAAAATAGGGATCTTTAACCTCAATCCTGCGAGATTCTCATTCAATGGATGTGTAGGGGATCTAGGAATCACACTCAGGTTTTAAAAAGTGCCAGGTTGATTATAAGTATAGTTATGTATATAAACCTTTGCTATTAATAACATTAATTAGGAGCAGACTCCAAGTAGAAGAATGGAAAGTTTTAAATACTAGACGACATTTGTAGTAGAAAGGTATGTGATGTTTTGGGGATGTTAAAAATTCAGAACCAAGATTCATCCCTCTGGGCTAATGTCTAATGTTAGTGGTCATACCTCTCTAGGAGTCTGTGTCTTGTTTTGTGATTGCTTTTTCTCTAATCATCCTGGGGTAAAAATATTGGAGAAAGTACAGCTGCTTCGTGATTCATGACAGCAACTGAATCCGTAGTGAACTGAAGAATTTGCCCTCTAAGTAGCTCCTAAAATGTCTGCAAAATGGATTTAGAGGTGCCAAATTCTATTTTGCTTTTTGTCTTTCACCATAAAATATTTTTTAAGTTGTTCATGTTTTTAAGTTGTTTCTAAAATACAACGCAGTCACTTTTAAGACTAGTAAATTTTTTAAATTTGCACATTTAAATAAATATATAATTTTCTGGTCAAAGAGTACACGATTATAATAGAATGAGGTCAAAACAGAAGCTTAAATACTAGATGAGATATAAAATGTAAAGCAAAATTGACTTGTTAAAATGACATACTTCTGAGCCAAGTTTCTTTCAATTCCTCTTTCCTAGAATTAAGGCAGAAGTTAGATTCTGAGGGAGGATTCTGTCTACGGTGGGGTTCTCAGGACTGCAGCCGTGGAAGGATAAAGGACCAGTTATGCTGATAAAAGTAACAAAATATAATTGTTTTAAAAATATATTACATAAAGTTATTTTTTTCAAATTTTACCTAATTAGCATGGACTTTTTTTATGTGAAGAAACCTTTAAAATAGTGAATCATAAATGTTTTGTGCTGAGATAAAGCTTATATGACTTTTCTCTGGTTTGCAACAATATCCTGAGATCTTTGGCTTAAGGGTTGTTAATTTTGACCTCTGGGACCATTTTAAAAGGGACAACTTGTCTCAGCTGCCACAGGAATTTGCACTTCACCTTGAGCATGGGAAAAACAATAAATGTAAATGTTGCATGAATATTTCTCAGGATGTTTGTTTGATAAGTAATGAAAGATATGCTCATAGTTGCTTTGTGTTAAATTGTGATGGTTGAAACGCATGAATATTTAAGTTTCAACAGTAAAGGTTCATATGAGAAAATTATAGTACTGGCTGACTGAGCTCTTTAAAATCAGAAAGTGACTCATTTATCTTTGCGGCACCAACCATCACACGATGTCTGTTTGAATCAGTAAGTACATGAAAACTGTTTTTTAACCTTATGCACTTAAAACCATTGATGTTTGGCCTTGGAAGAAAATCACCAGCCTCTAAAAGAAAGACTTACAAAATCAACTTCTCTCAATGACCACAGATGTCACAAATCTAGATTTCTCAATTGGAATAGCAAACGGGTGATTACAATTTGCATCTATGATAAGAAGCTAAGCTAATTAATACAATTGGCCTTGGAGAAAACAATGCCCTGTCAACCCTCAACTATCTCATCTGGAACTTTCCCATTTCTTCCTTTATCGTTTCTATTCTATTAAGTCCAGAAAATAACCACATGAAGAATGCTGAAAATGGAAGTTTCCTTTAATTGATATTCAAGATGTCATTTGGCTTGAAACTATTATTTAGAGAGAACATGTAGCCAATACTAACGATTATCTTGTTCCATTGATACTTATCTACAGATTAAAGACAGTTGCCCTTCCCTCACCTGTTGAGGAAGTGCTTCCTGCCACTCATTTTCTCCATAACTTCAAGAAAATCTCCACTGGTTTAATAACAATAAGTCTTCTTATTTTACCATGACATAGTGTTTGGGAAGAAAATGCTAAAATATTTTACATAAAAGAAGTTTCATAACCGCAAGTTATGTAAAGGGGGGAAATGTATACTTACCATAGGTACTTTTTACCATGAATTTCCTGACCTTGATTTGATTAAAATCTCAACCTAAAGATTGCAACAATATAGATTTCTTTAGAGTTTAATTGTTCATTTCACTGAACTTCGAATGAGAAAAACCTCAATGTGGGACAAAAAAGGCTGGTAAGCAGAAGGAGAAGTTAAGCACTGAGCCGCTTTGCAGATCAGAGGGTTTGAAAGTGAGCACCCAGTTTGACAAGAAGCAAAAACCACAAGAAGAGTACTACGTAGTCTTTCTGTTCACTTTGTTTCACAAACTATCCAACTACTGTCCTCTCCTACATCCTCTGTATTTTCTATTTATTTTACAGATGTTGTTGGGGTAGTTAACCTGATCCAACGCTAAAGAATTCAGGAGAAGGAGGGAAGCCTTCTCTGCTTGAGAAGTTTTCCCATCTCATACTCACGGGAAATGAAGACGTCACCTGCCATGCTTGGAACTGGGAAATTGTTTTCGGTCCTCTTCCTAATCCCACATCTGGGCATCTGGAATATCGATGGTAAAGTACCTACTTTGATTATTTTTTGTCTTATTTCTCAGAAGGTGTTGGAGGTAATGTTTTCCCTTGCTGATTTTAGCTGGCCGTGGTGTTTATGTGATGGATGATGGTAGATGAAACCAAGCAGTTAGATTTGCTTGCGGAAGACATTCTAGGACATAAGCCAAATTAGAACATGATATTCAAGTCACAGCTTGCCTGATATTTTGAAAACATATTCTGTTGATAAGAAAAAAGGAATTGGGCAGATGTTATACATAGTTAGGTACAAATTTATAACTACTACTAGCAAATGCCCTGAATGTCATGCTGGTGGCGACTAGCTTGTTCTTTCCAAACTGAGGCTTTACAGAGTATTGTAGTGTTCAGCTGGAGAGCATAAGTTTTGGTTAACTAGGGTTATACCTAACTCCATGGTTACTCTTGAAAAATGTTGCTATATAAAATTACACCACTTCCTTCAGTGGAAAATACTGAATGAGAAAATGCTGAGAAATACAGGATCGGAGCATTCCGTCATTGTGTCCATTATGTTGAAAGAGAATGGTTCCAACTCAGGTGTCATCTGACATAGAAAACATCTTGGGTTCTGCAATAATGACTCTTGGTCACATCTGCAAGAATTTTATGTAGGCAAACAACCAATTTCTTTTTTCTGCTGAGTTCACTTGTTCCCTTACATTGACACTGGGGCCCACATGCTGTAAATGGGGAAGGGCTACAATTAGCTAGCAGATGTTTCGGATTTTCTCAGGTCTGTTTTCAAACAGCCTGCCTTATAATCCCCACAAGAACACATACGCCTCATTTTGTGTGCTGTGGTTTTAAATCAGAAAATACGGTTACTGAAATCCCATAAATTGTCACCTTCGATTCTGGAACTGGGTGGTTTGGAATTTATCTCCGTGATGCCAGGATCACACACAACCAGGAGCAAAATAAAACTTCCCTTCAGTCATTTAAGCATTTATATGCTTGTATATTTTTATGCGTGTATATCTGGTGTTACGTTGACAAGGGGTTTAGATGGCTGACTGAATTTTTCACTTTCCTTCAGATGCCTGCAATCACATAGCTGCAACTTGAGTCAAATATTATTAAATAGAACTCATAGCAACTTGAAGAATATCCAAATATTCCTTGTGAAATGAAGTAAAAGAACTTTCATGCTGTATCGCACTGAAAGTGGGGTACAACTTCTATTCTTCCTCCCACTGTGCTTACAAAAAAAAGAAAAAATTGAGTGTTAGAATTGGGTTAATTTACTGTCTCTGACACTTATTGTGTGACCTTGGTTAAATTTCTTATCCTCTCTTATGTTTAGTTTCCTCATTTGTAAAATAAAGTTAATAATTGTACCTAAATTATGAGGTTATTGTGAAGACTATAAATGCAGTAATATGGATAAAGTACCTGGCACAATAAGTGAACACAATAAATGTTTGATAAACAAATGTTAATGGTATTTTTGCTAATATTTTTTTCACCCACAAAATTTGGTTAAATGGGAAGTAAGTTTTAACATTGTCATATATTTATTAATTTTTTAATTAAATTTATTGGAATGACATTGTTTAATAAAATTATATAGGTTTGAAGTGTACAGTTCAATAATACATAATCTGTATATTACATTGTGCATTTACCATAACTCAAAAATTTCCTTCCATCGCCATATATTTGACCCCCTTTACCCTTATCAACCTCTCTACCCTTTTCCTCTGATAACCTCTAAACTATTATCTGTGTCCATGATTCTGTTTGTTTGTCTTGTTCATTTGTCGCTTTCAGTTTTTTATCCCACATATGAGTGAAATCATATGGTTCTCAACTTTTTCTGTCTACCTTATTTTGCTTAGCATGATAATCTCAAGATAATTCATGTTGTTGCAAATGGCATTATTTCATGTTTCTTATGACTGAGTAATATTCCATTATATATGTACCACACCTTCTTTATCCAATCATCCATCAAAGGGCGTTTTGGTTGTTTCCATCTCCTGACCACTGTGAATAATGCTGCAATGAACATCAGGATACATATGTATTTATGGGTAAATGTTTTTAAATTTGGGGAATAGATACTCAGAAGAGGGATATTCTGGGTCACATGGTAATTCTATTCTTAATTTTTTGAGGAAGCTCCATACTGTTTTCCATATTAGTTGTAGCAATTCACAGTCCCGCCAGCAGTGTATGAGGGCTTCTTTCTCCCCACAACCTCTTTTATTTGTCCAATTGATGATAGCCATTCTTACAGGTGTAGGGTGGTATCTCATTGTGTTTTTGATTTGCATTTTCCTGATAGCTAGTGAAGTTGAACACCTTTTCATATGTTTGTTGGCAATATGTATGTCTCATTGGGAGGAATGTCAGTTCAGGTCATCTGCCTGTTTTTTAATTGGATTGTTTGTTTGTTGTGTTGTTGAGTTGTATGAGTTCTTTCTATATTTTGGATATTAGCCCCTTATGAGGTGTTGTTTGCAAATATTTTCTCCTATTCAGTTGTCGATGGTTTCTTTTACTGTGCAAAAGTTTTTAGTTTGATACAGTCCCATTCGTTTATTTTTGCTTTTACTTCTCTTGCCTTTGAGGTCAATTTCATAAATTCTTCGTTAAATCCAAGGTCCATGAGTTTAGTACCTATGTTTTCTTCTATGCAATTTGTTTTTTCAGATCTTATATTTAGGTCTTTGGTCTATTTTGAGTTAATTTTGGTGTATGGTGACAGATAGCAGTCTAGTTTCATTCTTTTGCATGAGGCTTTCCAGTTTTCCCAGCACCATTTATTGAAGAGGCTTTCTTTTTTCCGTTGTATATTTTTGACTCCTTTGTTAAAAATTATTTGCCCATATATAATGGGGTTTATTTCCAGGCTCTTAAATCCATTCCATTGGTCTGTGTGTCTGTTTTTCTGCCAATGCTAGGCTATTTTGATTGTTGTCGCTTTGTAGTATAATTTGAAGCCAGGCAGTGTGCTACCTCCAGACATTCTTTTTTTGGGGAGGATTTCTTTGGCTTTTTGGGGTCTTTTGTGATTTCATACAAATCTGATGATTTTTTCTTCTATTTCTTTTCAAAAATGCCATTGGGATTTTGATAGGGATTGCATTAAATCTGTATATTGCTTTGAGTAATATGGCCATTTTAACTATGTTGATTTTTCCAATCCATGAACATGGAATATTTTCCCATTTCTTTGTGTCTTCTTTGATTTCTTTTAATAATGTCTTATAGTTTGCACTGCATGGGTCTTTCACATGCTTCATTAAGTTTATTCCTAGTATTTTATTCTTTTTGTTGCAATTGCAAAAGGAATAGTTTTTTTCATTTCTTTTTCTGAAATATCATTGTTAGTGAAGAGGAATGTTATGGATTTTTACACGTTGATTTTGCATCCTGCAACTTTACTTTTTATTGTTTCTAATAGTTTTTTGGTGGTGTATTTAGGCTTTTCTATATAGAGAATCATATCATCTGCAAAAAGTGACAATTTGACTTCTTCATTCCTAATTTGGATACTTTTTATTTCTTTCTCTTGCCTGATTGCTCTAGCTAGGACTTCCATCACTGTATTGAATAAGAGTGATGAGAACAGACAACCTTGTCTTGTTTCTGATCTTAGAGGAAAGGCTTTTATTTTCAAAGCTAAAATCAAATGAAAAAAAAATGAAATATATCATAGAATATATTTAGCCCCAAATATAGTGAATCAAATTATTTAAAAAATGAAATAGAAAGACTTAGACAAGGTCCTGGACAGGTATCTTAAATAAAAGTCGATAGACTGCAGTATTACTTGCATTAAATTTAGGGCATAGGTTGAGATAAGGAGTGATCGGTGAGATTTGTTCTCCCAGACGGAGCTGATGACTATCACTTAAAATCACATTACTTTTAATCTTTGCATCTTGAGGATTTCCTGTGATATACTTAATTACTGAATTCTTTACACTGACACAGTTTCAAAGTGTTTAAAAATAATTTTAAAAGATATTTTTTTCCTCCACTATAAAGCAATGTGAGATCTGTGTGCCTCTTCCCAGGAATAAGGCCCCATCAAGAATAAGACTGGAAAAAGTGTAATGTTCTCTACAAACTTTCTTTTTTATAATGAAATAATGCTTACTTGCTTTCTGTGTTTCAAGAATAACGTCATAGAGAACTCTGCTCCTCAATATCTGGTGTAGGAGTTCTGTCCTGATAAAAATATTAAAGTGTCAGCATTTTCTCTCCTGGACAGATGGTCAGATTATGCTGAGAAGAACTAGGCTGCAGGTGGAGAAGCCCCTGTAAGTTACCTGCTTCATTGCCCATAAGTGGCTCCAGCTGCGAGGCCCTGGACCGCTTGTTTACTTGAAGACAAACTGAGGATTCTACCTTCAAGCAGGCAGGAGCACTGCAGTTAATGTCTGGCTATCACATGACACTATATATGAACCAGAATGAACACCATAGGAAATCTTTGATTGATTACTGCTTATTGTGAGTAAAAAAAAAAAAAAAAAAAATTCTAATTTGATCTAGTACCAGATGACACTTATAGTTTGGCTTTTTTTGAGAACACTGTGGTTAGGGCCAAGTCTCCATTTGGGTCTTGGCTGCACCATCTTTTGCCTCTATTGTGATAGTTCAATATGAACCATGGATCCCACACAGATTGTGTTGCTTCAGCATGAACTGGCCATATCCTTCGGTCAGAGCAGAAACATCAGGGCAGGAAGTGCTCTGCATCTGTCTCTCATTCCCTGAAGTTCTGAGGTCTTTATCAGAATTATTTCTATAGCTGTAGCTATTTGTTCCTATGGAAATGTGCACATATATGCTAGAGATGGAGTTCTGCCTTTTGCCAAATGCTTATGTATTGTTATTGCAAGAATGCCTGCCACAAAATATGACTACCTTTTACATAAATGTCTAGGAATACATTCTGAAGCTACAGGATTTCCTGGATTAAGGTATGAAAAGATTAACCCCTGTGCTTATCACAGCCTTGGCTA